TTTTTTCTGCATTCTCTTTCTCTATTAACCAGTCTGGATGAGCTTCAAGAAGGTTCAAGAGCACTATATACGGTGCGTTGAAAACTTGGACCATGATGATATTACAAAGAAAAACCAAATGCTGCACGCCCTCACGATATGCCTTCTTACGATAACCAAAGAAGGTTCTTCTTAATGTTCTTAAATTGCATGAACTTGATCTTATTCTCTGTACAATTGCAATTTGGATTTGATGCATTATCTGACTAAGGATGGATTATGGGCAGCAGTTCTCTTGTCAAAGTCAAATTTAGTGAAAAACCATGCATGCAGGTTTGAGATGCCTTCATTATTTTTTGGGGTTATATAATATTGGGAAATGCTACGATCCTGTTACGGAACCATTCCTTCGGGGTTTGTAACCGTTAGATCAACTATTTCCGACGGTTACATGATGATCTAACGGTTACAAACCCGACAGAATGGTTCCGTAACAGGACTGTAGCATCTCCCTATAATATTATAAAATTTCAAAAAATGTAAGTTAATGTTCATAATCTTGTGATGATTGAAAATTTAAAATCACAAATACTTGTTTCTATATAGCAGTTTGTAAGTTGTTTTCAATTTTGCATGGTGTGGAAATTTACACACGGTTTTGTTTGTAAAATTCAAAATTATGTGGAGACATGGTGTGTTGGAAGTTTGGTAGCTACAAATGTAGCATCTTTTTAATATTTTCCTTGGAATTAATATTTTTCTAAAATATATGAAAGAGCCAAGCTGGATTTTGGGTCAGACTAAAATAAATAATTGAAGAAAATTTCAAATTAATGAGATGGGACCTAATTTAGGTGTAGCTTATTAACTTTAGCTGGATTTCATAATTGTCCTTTGTTTTTTTTTTTTTTTTAATTAGTAGTTGACGCTTTTTCGCATTAGTAATTGAAAATTGATTTGAATATATTGGGATAGGGGTTTTTGTAGGTACTGGCTCGCCAAAGCCAGCCAAGAACGATCCTCTGCTGACACAATAGACCCAGGACCGAGCGCAAAGGGTCTGTTAATCACGCTCTAGCCGGGCAGCCATAACTCATCCACGAGACTGATAATTGTATCTTTATATCTCAAGGATATAGAGGTACGAGCTTATAGAACAGATCCTGTTCAAGTAAGGTTGTTCCAACAGTACAATTTAACCGGAAGAAATATCAAATTAAAACAATTTATTGGTTATGGTCAATGAATTTGGGATATGGTAGCCATGCTAAATGGATAACTTCAATCTTTTTCTTTTAATGTTTAACAAATGATTAGATAACTATTATTACTAATACAAGCAAGATGAGTCAAGCTCAAGCTCTTTACATTCATGTTCCGTCTCGAGTCTATCGAGCTCAAGATTGACTCGTTTATTATATTAATTACGAGTGGAGTATAAAAAAATTAATTACATAAGATTTTATGTTTTCGTTCGTAACGAGTTGCTAATTAGTTCATTAGTTAAACGAGCTTGAAACGAATTTAAACTTGGCTCGTTTGTAAAATGATCTGAACTAAATTTGAACTCACGAGCAATTCGTTTCATTCAATATTTCGAAGGGATCAAATATATTACATGAAAAACCATTTTATATTCGAATAAATAAATACTAAATTAATAAAAAGGAATGGAATATTTTTAGATAAAAGAACTTAAGATGAAAGTGGGACATGAAAGGGACATATTGTCTCCTTTTGATTGCTCATCATTAATTATGATAAATTCGAAAGTTTATTTCAATATTTATATGAAGGGACCATTAGTATTTCGTAATGTGTGCATTGTAGTGACATTAGATCATTTATATGGACCAAATATATATATATATATATGTATATGATTATTATTATTTTTATTGTTAAATAAAATTATATAGAACAAACTTAATTTACATCAACCGTTTCACGGCGTACAAAAGCATATGGGCGACCACAATTTGATCTCTCACTCGCTATCCAGATAATGAGAGCTTAACCACAGATCGGTTGCTCAGCTCAAACTAAAGAAGAACCGTAAATCAAGATGTCACGGGCCGCGGAACAAGGCTAGCAGCATAGGGATGTACCGCGGCGTGGTAGTCCGCTGATGAAGGATCGGGTGTTGCGTTCCCTCGACTTGTCTCGATCACGGCTTCGCCACGACCTTGCTCTCGACGATAGGTGTGATCGACTCGGTTATTAGCCTAACTCTCTCACGATACTTGAGTTCACTCGGTTATTAGCCTCGCTACACTCTCGAAATAGATCGGGTCTTAGCCTCTCTAAATCGTTGAATTGGCTCGGGTCTTAGCCTCACCAATTCGATTGCATGATGGAATTCTCACGAACCCTAACACACGGTTTCGAACAAACGTTCTTTTCTATTTCATCATTCTTCGACATCAAAAACAATGAGGGATGCTCCCTATTTATAGATCCTAATTACTACTAATTCTAATCTACTTAGGAAACATATTAAAGCAATAAAATATTAACTTCCTAAACATTCTAGATACTATTATGCAAGAAGGAAACTAAATATATCAAAGTCCTAAATTGACTAGATCTTGATCTTGCTTGACTTGCACTCCAAACAATCCAAATCACATGCCCAAGTACTTGTTCGGCCGCCTTCACGCGCGCACCTCCCAACCGCCTTTGTGCGTGCGCCGACCTTCGAGGTTTCCTAATCCTCCTCGCGCGCGGCTTCGCGCGCGCGCGCCTCACACGCGTCACGCGTTGCCTCGGTCTCGCCTAGTCCCATGCGGACTAGGCCTCGCGCGCCTGTCGCCCAATCGCGC